CCGATCTCCCCCCTCTCTCTCTCTCTCTTTTTTATCTCCTCTTTTATAAATTTACTTATAATAAAATTAAGCATTATAACGTACTCGTATATAAAAAAACGACACTGACGAAGATTTTCTTCGAAGATAAATAATGTGTTAACCCGTAAAGAACACCTCTCTTTTGAATGGTTTTGTTTAACACGAAATCTGAAAACAATTACGTTCTTTTTTCGAAAATTTAATATTATCAATCGATTGGTCAGACAATTTTACATTGAGAAACACATTTTGCTTTAATTCTGCTTTTTATTTTCAGAAGATATAAAACTTTAAAATAATTCGCTTGGTGCGAATTCGCACCCAGGTGTCCTTTGCGGGTTAACATTAATTTTTTAACAGTATTCAGAAATTCACGTTGCCATGGTCTTTTGAGAAAAAAAAATCTCGCTTTATTCACACGTCGTGTTAGTATCGACATTGTCTTGACAACTCGTGGAATATTAGATTGTACTAAGCAGCACTCGGAAATCGACAGTTGCAACTTAGCCTACCCCCGGTAGATAACACTATGTATAATAATAAGACATCCCTGAGACTTACAATGTTGAAATGGACGAAGTCGATCCTCAACTGGCTGACCTCCGTATCGATCTTCCGTACAACCACCGAGCAGTTCATAGGCCGGTCGATGAGGTTGGGAAAACCAGGACTGGTCACGTAGGTCAGATTATTCTGTACCTCATTGTCGCAGCTTGCCGTGACTGTAAACCATATTAATTGCTGACACAGTTAACGAAATGCCCGTATACTCCACCTGTGAGGGACGTTCGCGTTTCGTACGCTTCGGAATATTTAATTAGCAGGTAAGAACGATGCACGATACACGTACCTTGCGCGCGCGATTTCGTATATATATAGGATTTTACCGTTCGCATTTAAGCCGATCCGAACGGGATCGAGCGCGGAGCTGCTACACGCGTTGAATTCGTTAAAATATAATTCGTGATTACTGTTAATAAGGGATTACATCGCACGAATAATGAATTTGCCGCGGCGTTTAAAGCTCGCAAGCGATCGACGCTCGGGCGTTTAAAGCTAATAATGCGCTTTTAGCCTTCTAAAGTTAAGTGGGAAATCAGACACCTGAGTTCGATACTGGCTTTCCCGGGGAATTTATTCACTGCGCAAACTTCTATACCTCGCCTCTCTCCCTCCCCTACATGATGTTATACGTTAAATGACTCTGTTTTTTTCCGCGACGTCTTTTCGAAATCCATTAATTTTTCACGTTATATAGGATCGATCTAAGATACGTGACGGAAAAACACGGATGCGAAAGTATGCGCGGATTATGACACAAGCCGCTATTAATTGCCCGTGAATAGCGCCTGATGTTGGGTTTTCGCCGAAATTTCCTGTTTGAAATTCACGTCCGCGCGCGGACAGATTAAATGCGAATGCCAGACATTCTAACACTTTCGCGAAGTATCCTCCTTCCCCCC